CTTTTTTTTTAAATCCCTGATTTCTCAAAATTTGTGGATGATGGAACTTTTTCAACCTTATATTCTTTTTCAGCAGCTAAAAATATATCGAAATCATCATTCAGATGTTGACAAGCAGAAGTCTTGTATAAATTAGTATTATTATTGTGTGCGTGTGATGACAAATTATTATACTTTTAATATTAGTATTATATTATTAATATTAATATTAGATTAATTGTCCAAATATTCAAGTAAAGCTTTTTCATAGAAAAATATTGATGTGATTTTTTTCTATAGATGTTTCAGATATTAGAATACCTTTCTGGGATAAGAAAGAAATAATTCTTCCACCTACGGTCCATGAACAAGACGATGGTACATACTTTGCAATATGTGCCACTGGCACATCCACAAAAGACTCATTGCTGTCCTGGATACGATGTTTGCAAAAGAAGAATCCCGTATTAACTATAATTCCGGTAGTGTTCAAATTAATATCCTTCACGAGGGAACAGTTCTACATCGATTCTAGTGAAAGTGAAAATAACATAGTGCAAAAGGATCAGCAGAAAGATACAAATTATTAAAAATCTTAAACAGTGATAAGCAACGTCACTAATGTAACAAATCAACACGCATGTCTGTAGATAGCTCTTGTTTGTATATAAAAATATAACGTTTTCATTATAGTTGATATGATTTCGATCAATTTAATAATTTAATTGACTTATAAATTTATTTAATAATTTAAACCCTGATATTTTTGCAGTTGAAAAAATCGTTTTTATCTTTCTGGTCATGAAAATATTCCATTATTACGACATAAATACGGCATTTAAACAAAAAGGAGAGGAGGGAAGAATATATAAAAATAAGATACACAGTACATAGAAAGTTAATATAATTTATTCTGTGCAGCCACGCGTGTACTGCTTGGTGCACCTTCCCATTGATAGGAATCAAAATAATATATGCCATCTGCCGATGGTCATTAGGTCATCACATTGATTCGCTGTACTTGTCCACTTTATATATAAATACATCGCGATTGAAGAAAAATATATATATATGTATGTATATATAGATATCTGTACAATTTCTAGTATTGTATACACTATATGCTACTTCGGTAACACTACTTCGTTAATGCGTTAAGTCTAAGCCGCCCTTTAAGTGAGACTTCGTCTCAATCGCGCGAACAACGCCTCGCAAATGAAAAAATATGCATCTCCACCGCGCGAATTCTATATAGATTTATACAAATCTATGATATGTTGTTATTTAAAGGAACGAATCAAACCTGTATACGACAGATCTAAATTTCACACTAAATTGCCTAATACCCTTTGTCGAAAAATATACTTCAAACTAATCTCCTAAAATATATCATATATCGTATCGTTCCGCTTAGCCGTCCAGCTTTCCACAAGGCGAACGATCACAAGCGTTATAGCTCCTCTCTTGATGAATATTTTATGGCTTGGCCAGCAATAAGACACGACTGCTTATATAGTGCATTTACGCTATCTGTAATCCACCGATTACACTTTGACACGTGTAGTGAAACTCTATGTCTAACTTCCCACACAAAATAGCACCTGCTTAGAGCGTACTAAAAATAGAATATAATATACAATATACTTGCGGTATGAACCGCATTCAACTACGAATATCTTCCGCTTCACGCGACGATCAAGAGAATTTATCAGGGATCTAAGTCTCGTAAACAAAGACTGCAGATGTTTATGCAAATATGTGGGAAGCAAACGGAAAAGTTACGAAATCGAAATATTTGTTATCACGACACGCAGAAATATTTTTTTATCACTATACTTCTCTTAAATGAGAGCTTACTGTGGGCTAATCCACATTTTGTAGAAACGGAGAATAAATGTTCTTTTCCATCACCTTAACTTTAACATTTAACTTTAAAGTTTTTCCTGTTCTTACAAAATGTGAGTTAACTCACTATTGCAGTAAGCCCTTCAATTTATTTCTCATTGAAATGTAGAAAATATTCTCTCAGAATATTATACGTCAATATAATTAAGAATAGTCTCGTATATTTGCATAAACATCTGCATTTTGATCGCAAATAACCGTGTCTCGTTATTCTCTTTCGCCGCATTATTCTCTTTCGCTACACAATTAATGTACAAATACTTTAAATTTAAATACTTTTATCAAATATTATGGAAACTACTAAAAAAAAGCTCGCTAATCGCTATTGAACCTTAGTGTTCGTAAAATTCAGCACCAATCTTGCAGTTTGATTATCTTTCTATGAAAAGCGAAAACGTAAAAAAAGGATATATTTAAGATGTCAAATACGCGTTTCAAAAATGAACCAAGCTTTAAATTTCCTACAATAATATCACTTATTACGCTGATGAATACAACTTATGTCCATTTCTATCAATGTAGATTAACTTTAATCTCGATTAATTTTTTATCTATTTTTAATAATTAGAAGAAAAGAAAAGTA